CCATCAATCCATCCATCCATCCATCCATGCCTTCCTGCAGCTCCTACACCTGCCCCACCTCACAGCTTCACAGGGCCTTTGAGCAGCTGGTCCTGAGCTGCTCTTGCAGCAGCCCCAAGGACCCACAAACAGCCTGAGGTGAATGTTCCCACACGGCGCCCACAATGCCAGGACACGGGTTTGAGCCTGTTCCCTTGTCACCGAGATTTTAAAGAAACTTGCACCAGCACAGCCCCTGCACGCTGTGCCAGGACTAAGGGCAGGTTCATGGATCTCAAACCCCGGGCACAGCGCAAGAACATGAGATGACACAAATAACGTAAATCTCATTACTTTTGGAAAAAGAGCTTAAAACTTGGTAAGAAATATTTAAAAGCTTCAAAACACTTTAGAATTGGCCTGCATTAATATGTATGTTGCTGAGAGGCTGCACTGACAGAGATAAGGGGATTTCAGATAGGTTATATTCATAAGTTAATGTGAAAGAAATCACGCTTATACAGCTGAAAAGGAGAGAGGACAGGAAGGTTTCCCTACCAGCAGCCTGTTTCCAGCAGCAATTATCAACTGGGTCCCATCCGGCTTGAACGCGAGGTCGTAAATGCTGAGGGAAACAAACAAACCGAGAACCGCGTGTCAGGAGACAAAACAGATCGGGTGTGCCACAGGGCCAGCGCTGGTAGAGGCACCGACCCCGCTGGGAGCCCCCGCAGCCGGGGCCGCCGCTCGGAGCGGGACGGGCCGGCGCGCCCGGGGCCGCTCACCACTGCTCGGCCCTGTCACGCCAGGTGAGCGCGGCCCGCATCCCCCGGACCCCGCACGGCCCGGCACGGCCCGGCACGGCTCGGCACGGCCCGGCACCGCCCCTCACGGCCGGGCCCGCTCCGCGCCGGGCGTCGCTCCGCGGCCCCGCCGCTGCCACGGGCAACGCGCCTGCGCCCGCGGCCCGCGGGCCCGCCGGCGCCAGGGGGCGCTGCCGGCGCCGCGGGGCCGCTCGCGCGGGCGGGGCCGGGGCGGCGCCGGGAGATGGCGGCGCCGGGAGCGGCGCGCGGGTGAGCGCGGGGCGGGCCCGGCTGGGCCCGGCTGGGCCCGGTTGGACCCGGTTGGACCGGGATCACGGGCCCCGAGTACGGGCCCCGTCCGCGGCTGCGCGCGGCACGGCCCGGGCCCGGCTCGTGTGGCGGTCCGCGCCCCGCCGAGCCCGGAGCTCCGCCGGCAGCAGGACTTACCGCGCTCTTCTTCCCCCGCAGCCCCGGGGGCGGCGGTGGAGGCGCGGCGGCGGCGGAAGGGCCCGGCCCCGGGCGCAGGGCCCGCGGCTGGCAGCGGGTGAGCAGCCGCCGGCGGGCGGGCCGGACGGCCGGCAGGACCGACGTGTACTTCATCAGGTGAGGCTGCGGCTGCCAGCGGCTCTGTGTGGCTTCCCTGGCAGGAGCACAGCAACCTGCCCAGACGTCCCCGCAAAACTGGTTTTGTGCTTCGTTTTGGGGTTGTTTTTATGTACTATTGAAGATTTTTAAGCAAAGAGCGGGAAAATGAGAGTCATTGCTAATTTGCTTTCCTTTCCTACCACAGCCCTGAAGGGAAGAAGCTGAGGTCAAAACGAGCACTTGTGGAGTATTTACAGAAAACTGGGGAGACAACACTGAAAGCAGCAGATTTTGATTTTGCAGCTCCTCGAGGGAGTACACGCCCAGGATTGAGGGGATGTGGCACTGGAGCTGCGAGGACTGACCTGGAAAAGGAGGACTGCCAGAGCAAAGTGCAGGAGCTCCGTGCACAGAATGGTGCTGAGGTTGGAACTCAGAACATCCAGGCTGGGAATAGACACCTGGAAGATGCTATATCTACTGTGGAAGGCACAGATTTAGCAGTGGTAGGCATAAACCCAGAGGAGAGTTTGAAAACCAAAAGAAAGAGGGCAGATGGAAAAACTGTCCAAACAAGGAAGTGTGAGAAGGGCTCAGAAAGGAGGAACCAAGGTGACCCCAAGAGCAAGAGGCAGAGAAGAATCTCTAACACATGGGAGACCAAGTGTGCTCAGAACAAGAGGGTCCGTAGGCAGACAGATGCCTGTGGCACTGACAGCCAGGGAGTGGGGGCACTGGGTGCTGACCCTGCGGGTGCAGGGAGAGCTCTGTCAGCAATGCCCAGGGCACGGCTGGGCTCGGCGGCTGGCTCACACAGGGAGCTGGGTCACCTGCCAAAGCAGGGGCCATGCTCCAGTGGAACACCTGCTGCGAGGCCTGAGGAGGGATCCTCTGCTCTGGAGACGGGGAAAGTGCCAGGTCCAGGGGATCTGGGCGAGCAGCATGCGAAACCTGAGCCCGAGCTGGATGCTGAGCCGTGGGACAGGACGAGCTCCGCCGCAGCCACAACGTCACCAGGTGCGTGCTGTGAGAGCAGGAGGTGGTGCCAGCCTTCACCTTCTGCCCAGCCTCCCTTGGCTCTTGAGGCCACGTGTTCTGCTTCAGCTCGAGCTGCTCTGGCATCCAGATCTCATTTGTATCCAACAGCATCTAAACTAATGCAGGCTTACTCAAAACTGAAACTCACTGTGCCAAGCTCTAAGCTGTACAGTGTCAGGCAAGATCTGAGGAGATTTAAGGTACATTTGTGTCCTGTACACGAGAAGAATTCCTTCTGTTTCCATCACTTTATAAAGAGGAAGTGGTGTGTGAAACATGACAGCAGAATACTTGGTGCTTTTTCTTAATGCTGAAATTTATTTCTTTACAGAAGAGTCTGTCCCACGAACACAAGTGGAGAGAAGGAAAACGAGTCCATATTTTTCCAGTAAATACAGCAAAGAAGGTATTTTATTTAGGGAAAGACATGTTTTTGCGGGGAAGGGATAGGATGGCTCAGGATCAAGTGATGATGTGGAAAGTTCCTTGCAGCTTGACCCCCTTGGCTGCAGCTGTGCCAAGTGGGACACAGCCCCCCACAGCCCTGTAAAGGCTGTGTGGGAACTGCTGTGTCTACATCTATGCACAATGCCTCCACAAAAATGCTTTTTGTTCTTTTTCATTAAATAGGTAACACCATCCTTCCCTGTCTAATAAATGTTCCTGTGTTGCCCCTGTACAGCCCTCAGCCCACCCAGAAGAAAGGCCCTCAGAAAATGGACTCCTCCACGTTCTCCTTTCAATCTTATCCAGGAAACACTCTTCCATGATCCATGGAAGCTTCTCATTGCCACCATATTTCTCAACAAAACTTCAGGTAAGTAGAGAAGCAGGAGTAGGTGTGTAAATGTTTGGAGGTGTTACAGGGCTGAAACAGCTGCAGTTTTAATGGTATTAATGAAAGAATTGATTTATTTTAACTTGTGTCACTGTGGAATAATAATCCTTAGTTGGTACCTTACCTTGGAAAAGCTCACTTGAGAAAGCATATGGATAGGGCAGAAGGAGAACTCCAGCCCAGCCTCCTGCTTACAGGGTTCTTTCACCAGGGAAAATGGCTATTCCAGTGCTCTGGGAGTTCCTGAAGAAGTATCCTTCTCCTGAGGTAGCCAGGGCTGCAGACTGGAAAGAAATGTCAGAGCTGCTCAAGCCTCTTGGCCTCTACGAACTCAGAGCCAAAACCATCATCAGGTTCTCAGGTGGGTTTTCCTGACATCTGGAACAATCTTGGTTATGCTGGCAAAAGACAAACAGCTTTGGTGCAAGCGCTGCTCTGTGGCTCTCCTCTGTTGGGTGGTGGAGGCTGTTCTGCAGCATTTGGGATCCATTGGTGTCGCACAGGCAGAGCTGGTGGTCCCAGTCTGAGCTGGGAAGGAGATGCCAGCCATGGGGTGTTCTGCAGGAGAGAGAAACTCGTTGGAGCAGAAGCTCCCAAGCACCTGCAGCACTGCTGCTGTGTGTGAGCACTGTTACAGGTGGCTGTGCTCAGGGGTGCCCCAGTGACCTGCAGAATGCCCTTCCAGCTGGCATTTTTCTGATTCTGTACATAGAACCTGCAGAGGAGAATTTTGTTCTGATGGAAGATGTTATGGTTAAAACTCCCACGGTGGTTTGTTGAAAAGGAGTTTAAGATTAACCCGTGGGGATTCGTGGTCTGCATGCACCTGGAAACACCTAAAACTTACGGTTTTCATTTAAAATGAAGACATGTAAGAGTGGCACAGGGTCCTGGCCAGCTGCCTTATGTGCAGGCAGTGAGGGCAGGGTCTGTGTGTCCAGGTGCTGAGTACTGTGCCCTGCCTGGCAGGTGAGTACCTGAGCAAGGCGTGGCGCTACCCGATCGAGCTGCACGGCATCGGCAAGTACGGCAACGACTCCTACAGAATCTTCTGTGTTAACGAATGGAAGGAGGTGGGTGGTGCCCTTTGGGTCCTTCAGCATCTCACTTGTGCCCACTGACCCCCTGGCGCTGGAAAACCAATGCTCACAATGTGGGAGCGATGAGATACTTTAAGGTGTTTCAGTAAATATCTGACATTTTCCCTGTGTCTCAGGTACAGCCACAGGACCACAAGTTGAACGTGTACCACACGTGGCTGTGGGAGAACCGGGAGAGGCTGAGCATCGACTGAACTGAGCTAGGGATGACCTGGCCCCACCACCTTCCCTCGGGCACCCTCACAGTTCTGGGTGTAAATATTTGTGTGATGTCATGGAGTTACCGCTATTTTTTTTAATAAACGTGTCCCTGTTTTGTAGTGCCTGTCTCTTCTTGCAGCGCAGCTCTGTGCCCACAGCTGCCTCCCAGGCTGGGGTCCCACTGGGCACAGCCGTCCAGTGGCCAGGCTGGGCACAGCCATCCGGTGGGGCCGGAGCGCTCGGGATCTGATGCCGGTGCTGGGCTGAGCGGGGGAGCCTGGGCCAGCAGCAGACCGGGCAGAGCACACCGCGCTCCGTGGCTGTGCCCCGGTGCTGCCGGAGGTACCGGCGCCTTGCCGGCCTCAGCCGCGCCGGGCCCGTGTCGCTGCGGCCGGGGAGCGCCGGGCGCGTTCCGCGTCCGCCGCGCCGCCAGGCGGCGCCCGCCGCCCGCCCGCACTGGCGGAAGTGGCTGGTGGGCACAGCCTGCCTGTGACGGACAGGTCCTGTCAGCCCCGTAGCCAGCGCACCGTTCGTGGAGGTGAGCGGGAAGCACCGATCTGGGCGCCCCCGCCGGACTGAACCTCCCTGCCCGGTGCCACCTCACCGCGGCGGCGGCCTGGCCTCCGCGCCGCCCCGCCGGTGCCTGGGGCCCTGTGTGCGCGGCCGCAGCGCCACACGCCCCTGCCAGGACCGTGTCCCGTAAAGCGCTTGCGCGCTGGCCCCTCCCTCTCTCGCCCGGCCCGCGGTGGAGGCGCCATCGGCACCGGTGAGTCCTGGCCGAGCCATCCGCGGCCATCCGCGGCCATGGGGCCATCCGGGCCCCTGCGCTTCTGGCACGGACCGGTTTCCTCCCTTTCCCTTCTCCTCCGCCGCATCTTTTCCCCGCGGCGCGGAAAGCGGCCCCCGCGGGCGGGCACTGCTCCTCTGGCTGGGCGGCGCCGCGGCCTCACCCGCGGCCCTGCGCGGGCGGCGGGGCCGTGCTTGGTCACGAGCCGGGCCGGGGGCTCTGGAGCGGGGCTCTGGAGCCGGGGGTCTCGGTCGCTGCTTATCTCCGTGGCGCCGGGCAGGAGCATCGCGGGGCTGGCAGCGCGGCACCTCCCAGGATCGCATCTGGAGAGCTCCAAGTGCTCTGCCAGCTTCGGAGACGGGAGGAAGAGCCCCAGCAGATGAAGACCCATTCCCTCACCGGCCCGCCGTGGCCCTTGGGGGAAGGCAGTCTGCGACACGCGTGGCCCGCGGAGCTGCACCGCGCCTCGGGCACGCCCCTCACTCACCCCGCTCTGTCCCGCAGCCACCATGCCTGCCCTCAGGCCTCTCGTGAAACCCAAGATCGTCAAGAAGAGAACCAAGAAGTTCATCCGGCACCAGTCTGACCGCTATGTCAAGATCAAGGTGAGGAGTTGCTGCCGCTTCCCAAGGACGGGAACTTTTGGGGTGTCTTCGATGTAGGGGGTGAAGGAAAGCCCAGCAGGATGGTGCCAAGCTGCAGCAGCTGGGCAGGGAGTGTGGAGGCCCGTGTAGGCAGCCCTCGGGCCAGCTGTGTTCAGGGTAGTCTCGTTTTGTAACTGTTCCCTGCATTTGTGCAGCGCAACTGGCGCAAACCCAGAGGCATCGACAACAGAGTGCGCCGGCGCTTCAAGGGACAGATCCTGATGCCCAACATCGGCTATGGCAGCAATAAGAAGACAAAACACATGCTGCCTACAGGCTTCAGAAAGTTCCTGGTCCACAATGTGAAAGAGCTGGAAGTGCTGATGATGAGCAACAAGTGAGTGTGTGGGGCCTGTACTCCCACCTGGGAGCGGTGGCATGGTCGGGATGGAATGAGGAAAATCATTGCCTTTGAGAGCACAGATGCCCTCACAATTCCCTCAGTGCCACTGGAAGGTGAGGGCACAGAGAGGCCTTGGGGCTGGCAGTCTCATCCCCTTGGCAAAAATAGGCAACAGTGGTGAGCCAGGCTGTGCCACATTACTGGTAACCACAGTCAGAACATGTGCTGCCATGGTGGCGTGGTCCAGAGGGCTTTGCCTCAGCTCTGGGTGCTGCTGGAGCCAAGCCCAACACTGTCTGTCTCCCAACAGGTCGTACTGTGCAGAGATTGCCCACAATGTGTCCTCGAAGAACAGGAAGGTGATAGTGGAGAGAGCTGCACAGCTCGCCATCAAGATCACCAACCCCAATGCCAGACTGCGGAGCGAGGAGAACGAGTAGCAGCCTCTGCAACACAGGTGTATTTAATAAAGCCTCAGTCCAACTCGGCTGCTGTTTTGCATGGGCAGAGGAGGGGCAGCAGCTTGTGTTTGGCTCCAGGGCTCTGCTGCCAGGGCCGTCAAGGAGCAGTGTCGTAGTGATGGTCAGTGAACACAGGGTATGCAGCTTCACAAGTGTATTTTATTTTTTATACACCCAGACAACAGATGTCCTTTCACACAGCACTATAAATACTATTCACATCAACCACTCTGTCAGAAGAGAAAAGAAAGCACAGAGCAGCCCATGGCTAGAGCAATGTGTTGTGATGGCCTCATCTTCTAGTTGGCTGCTAGAACCTTTGTCTCTTAAGGCATTTTCTCTCACAGAAAGCAGGATTTGAGCACAGCACCCACTGTGGGCTGTGTGCTTGCACCCCTGGCTCCTGCCTGCCACCGACCACTGGTGCTCCTGCAGGCGCCTGCTGCTCGTGTTTGACCAGGACCCCTAGACCCTTCTGGCTGGTGACACCAACACCAAGGTGCTCCAAGTGGGGAGAGAAGACAGTGTTAGTAAAAAGCAAAGCTTTAAGTAACTGAAACACTTACTAATCATCCTTCAGGGAAGACAGTTGAGGTATTTTGCAGTCAAAACCATAAATACGAAAGCTAATATGAATAAACCATAAATATGAAAGCAACAAAGCTTTGTATTGCCCAAATGCCAAACTGAACCCCTGGAGGAGAGTGGGGGTGTCAGGTAACCCCCCTGTCCTGTGCAGCCTCGGCAGCTTGCCAGGTGCAAGTCTTTCCCAAAAGGCCTCTGGGATGAAGACATGGCTTCCAGTTTTTAGCCATGTTTTTTAGTTAAACACTATAAATACATTCTTGGGCAATTTAAGGTAGAAAGTGCATGTGCAGTGATTAAAAAACCTTTGTACTGCAGTAAGGAGTATTTGAGGAAGTCATTTCCATTGTTCATGGAACCACAACTGCAATGGCTTTGTGCACCCCTTAAAACTTCCTAAAAAAATGGGGATATTAATCTTCCAGCCCCTCCCCTACATGAGGGTATACTCCCTGACCTCAGGTCTCCTTTCAAATCTCTGAAGTGTCTGAGAGGAATACAGCTGGATCAAGCCAGTCATGTCCAGCTGTCACATTTAACACACCATCCCCAGTTTCTCCTGTGGCTGCCCAGGGACTTGGACTTGGCTGTGGCAAGAGAGCAGCTCAATGGCATTTGTTCCTCCCCACCCATCATCCCAAGGGCAGGAGGGTGGTGTGGAAAAACATCTTAGCTCATGTCCATTGACTCCAAGGTGGGAAGGGAAGCAGAATCTTTCTGAATGCTCTCAAAAAGTGATGCCATTTCAGGACTGGATCTGATCTGGGATGAAAACTCGGCCATTGCTGGGCTTTTCTCCACCTCAGGGATGGTCAGGAGAGCAGCCACTGCCCGCATGGCGGAGCGCTTCAGCTCATCCTGCTTCTCAAACTCCTGCTTCACCGAACCAGCTTTCACCTGCAAATCCAAAGCCCCGTTTTCAGCTGCATTTAGAAAAGCCCATACAGCCACAGAACCAACACAGCAGCAAAGGCCAGCACAGAACTTTCCAGCTGGGGAAGTGAGGGTGGCTCAACAGCACTGAGGGAGAAGGCCAGGAGCAGAGGCAACTTCGGGCAGGAGCCACCCCGGGCCCTTGCATGATCCTGCGCTTACCTTTGTGGAGCAGGTTGCCCGGAGGGGCTCGATCAGCCGCTCGAGCCGCTGCAGCACAGCGCTGGGGCAGAGCACCGAGAGCCGCGCCAGCATGATGAACGTCAGCATCTGGGCAGGAGGGGAGGGAAACGGGTTGGTGCTCTGGGGCACCCAGCTCTGCTGACAGGCTGGGCTGTACCTGCACCCTGCTGAGTTCCTCTGCACTAGTGTGAATGGTTCTGCTAAGAGCTGGAAGTGCATCCCTGGCTGAGTTCCTCTGCACTGGTGTGAGGGGCTCTGCTGAGCTGGAAGTGCATCCTTGGCAGCCAGGGGGCTGGAGCTGCAGCTAGCCCAGGTGTGTGCAGTGCTGCAGGTGTCTGCAAAGGGCTGACAGCCCTGAGGACACTGCACAGGGCTCTGGGGATACACAGCCCGATTACAGCCCAGGCCCTCGCAGAAAATGACATCAGTCAGGGCACAGCACCTACCCGAATGTCATAGTGATCTTTCAGCCCATCCTCCACGTGGTTCAGGTAGTCATAGATGTCCAGCCGGTCCAGGCAGCTTTCCAGCAGGGTGTACATGCACTCAAAAGCAGCTTTCCTCACATCAAGGCCATCATCCACTGTGTGCTTGAATGGCCCCATCTCTACCTGAGCCAAGACAAAGAGTACAGCTGTCACCAACGAGCAGAGAGGGCAGCAGCTCCTTCAGGGCTTCGCAGGCCGCTGTGAGTCACTGTGTGGCACCCAGCCGAGCCCAGTTACCTCCCGGATGAGCTCCCTTCGCACTTTGGTTTCATTGTACAGGCTGGGGAGAACTGTTTTCAGTAAATCCCGGATTAAAGAAGGCTTGTTGTGAGCAGCAGAATTAAACAGGGCTAAAGCCACGCGGCGAACATTCAGGTCTGGATCTTGCAGAGTTCGTAAGAAGTCACCTGTGGGGTAAGAACACATCAGTCAGTCTTGCAGCCAACAGGATGCAACACTTTTGCAGTATTTTAAAGTACATTGGGATGTATTTCAAGGAGGCTGGTTATGAAAGCATTTATGGTAAAATAACTAGTGGCACAGTCTGTCAGAGCTATTTGAGATGCTTTCCCTCCATTTGAGATACAGTAAAGAAACATGACTATCCTGCATTTGGGCATAAAAACAAATGTGACTCTAGCTGCTTCACCCTAAAGTCGAATAAGCAGCTTTATTATTCAAGGAAGTTGTGGGGGATTTTTTCTTGCTTACATCCCATCTGATCAAACTTATTTGAAACAGAAAGGCCAGTTCTAGACAACAGATCCATGTGTGGGCTCCTTGGACATCAAACAATCCTCATGTAGGTTATACTTCTGAATATCCTTTTTGTGGGGTGTTGGAATTCTGAGTTTACATGCAGAAATAACTTAAGCACTCTAAAAACCAATGGAACATGCCCAAGAGCGATGCATGAGTGCATTTAGCGAAGACTCACAGTACAGGGTTGCTGTTTAATCCAAAAAGCTGAGAAATACTGATAAAAACTAACCAGAGTAGATGAGGTTCACACAGGAATGGAAAATCCCTGAGCTGCTAACAACACCCAACCTCTCATGCCCCCAGCTCACACCCCTGTCCAAACCAGCCTACCTATGCAGCCTTTCAGGAGAGCATCGATGGGCTGAGGCTGGTCTGTAATCGTGAACTTGATGGCAGTAACCACAGTGCTCCGGGCATGTGGGGAGCCTGCAATGAAGAGGGGAAAACAGTGAAAAATCAAGGGAGAAAATCACTGCTGTAACTCTAGTACATATTCTGCCCTTGGTCCTGTTACACGTGTTACAGAGATAAGGGAGTAGAGGATTCTTCTTATCAACTACTCCTTGTGTAGTCTCTTTTCCCCGTACTTTCCCATTCTTGTGCATACCAGTGCTCCTCTGATCCCCCTTGCAGAGAGATCCACCTTATTACCTGCTCTCCTCTCAACTGGCTTTGCTCCTTGTTGTACCCACAAGCAGTTTACAAAACAAATTTCCATCAGAAGGCAGCATTTCCCCACTCTGGTCATTGTCCTACCCATTACCTGCTAACAGCTGTTTCCTCAGCCGGGGCAGCAGCTCAGCTGGGTTCACCAAAGTCAGCTTCCCCAGGCACTCCGCCACCACATTGCGCGTCCCCTCCTCGGTGCACTCACAGTGCTTGAAGAGCAGAGCCCAGATATCCTCCACGTAAGGCGTGAGGCTGTCAGCTGGGGAGCAGCTGATCACTTCTTTCAGGGAGTGCAGCAGCAGGTACTGCCGCTTGGGCTGGCTTCCGATCTCCTTCAGCATGAAGGGCAGATACTCCTTCAGATTCCCTACGCTGACATTCCCCAGCGCGTAGGAGGCGGCGGATTTCACCTCTTCGCTGGGGGAAGAGAACGCTTCCAGGATGACAGCTCTGAGCTCCCTCTGAGCACTGAGGTTCGTGGTGCGGCCCACCTCTGCCAGGAAGAGGAAAGCCAGCACCTGGACAGCAGGGCTGGACTTGGGACTTTTCACATCCTGGACAAACTGGCTCACTGTCGCAGGGGCTTCCTTTGGGCAGGCTGAGGACAGGGCTGCCACACACTTCGCGATAGAGTGATACGCCTGTTTGTGCAAGGTCAGTGAGGCCCCGGCCGAGCCCGAGGAGTAAACGGGCGCTGTCAGCTGCTTCATCAGCTCCGGGTAACCCACGGCAGCTGTCTTTGTCAGGACCAGTGCCTGGAAGAAGTCGATGATGGCATTCAGGGTCCCTCCTTGAAGCAAAGGTGAGTGGACAAGCTGAAAGATTTCAGCAAGGACAGAGCCACTGATCTTGGAGATACAGGACGGATAAACCTTGGCCAAAGTCGTGAGGAACATGATGGTCACCTGGGACACGTGCATGTCATTCTCGGTAATTAAGACGGGGAGCTCTGTTATGACAGCCTCAATCATGGCAGGCTTGAGGCTGTCACTGTAGTTCTTTACCAGGATGTCCAGAGCATTCAGAGTGCTCAGTTTCAAGGCACGTTGATTCTTTCTCAAGAAGGATGCTAGAATGGGGAGACCTTCCCCTAGGATGGGTCTCAAATCTATTTTAAGTGGAGAACTAGCAATTAAGGTTAATGCTTTGACTGTTGTCAGTCTGGTGATTTCATTTTTGAGCCTCTCCAGAAATATCTTCAAGGTTGGCTGGAGGTCAGTGCTTAAATGGTCTCCCAAGTTGTAAATTATTTGTCCCATGCAGGAGATGGCACGTTCCTTCACCTCCTGGTCGATGTCAGCTGCCTTCAGCCGCTTCAGAGTACCAGGGAAAAGGTCCTTCACATAGGGCTTGGCATCAATGGTGTAAGGTTTGTCCAAAGGCCTGATAACTTTCACAAGCT